CGTTCGGTGTGAACGCACCATAAGAATTACAACCACTATTTTTTATAATTTTTATATCACCATATTTTTATTTAAAATGTATTCTTTTCTCTCGCTTCGTCCGCCATTACAAGCATTAAAAAATCTCCGGTCGGGCCGCAATGCATTATGGGATAYGCTGGGCCGGGAAGGCTCCATCGGACCTGTCCTTCGATTCGGACCAAAGGAAGGACGTATTTGTCGGCCGCATCGGAGGAGTCTTCAGTTTTGGACATCCTTCGTCGCGGCGCTGTGACGTATGCGGCCGACAAATTCGACCTTCGGAGGACCCGGCCTGCCGTTTTGGACACAGCCGTCGAGAAACATCATATCGTCATCCAAACAAATCTGCAAGGCATCAAGGGAAGACTTTATTACTAATGATTCTGCAGCTCGTTTTTTGGCAGAAAAACAATAAATGATATTTAACATCATCATTTATTAACCTTTAAGACAAGTTCAGCGAAGAAAGAAATCGAGTGGTCCTGAAGGACCCTAGTGATGATCCTCTGTGTCAGCCGGTTCAACACAGAGCTTTCGAAACCATCGAGCCGTCTTTAGTTTTGATCCTCCACAGATCTGAAGCATTTTTGTGAAACGATGACGACACCTGGATCCAACCTGGATCTTTTTCCGGTCTGTGACCCCACCCATGTTCATAAGCTGTGGGTGAGGTAAGACATCGATTCAAGTCTCAGATTACAAAACTCAAACTCAACCACGGTTTCAGACGGGTCAAAACAAAATAATAAACTTTATGTCAAATGCATTCAGCAGCGTGTTGCAGGTGGATTAAGATAAGATAAGATAAGATAAGATAAGATAAGATAAGATAAGATAAGATAAGATAAGATAAAATAAGACTTTATTGATCCAAAGTGGGGAAATTTGCACATTACGACGTCCTTATTAGACGTGAATCACTCGTTTGATCAAATTTTAGAGAAGAACAAGTAAATCAATGGTTTTAATCAATGAGACCAACTTCGATCCAGACGAGGCCGATAATAAATCATCTTTGCAGTAATTTTCCTCATCTTTTTCCATTCGTTTAGATGCTCCATCATCAGATCAGCTGTGCTTCCATCCCTTTAAAGCCTCACATCTTTGTGTGTTTTTGTGTAGAAGTCAAAGACTCGGAGCCTCCGGAGATGCTGGACAACCCGCCGTCAGTGGATAACGTGTCCAAACAGCCGCGCTGCGTCAGCGGACAGTACTTCTTTGAGTATCTGGTGGTGGTCAGCCTGAAGAAGACCAAAGAGGGCGGCAGCTATGAGCCTCAGATCACCTACCAGTTTCCCAAGGTCAGTGTGACGGAGGAACACAGCTCAACACATCCAGTCTGACTTTAATCATCACTTTTGTTACATTAAGTTGTTTAAAACTTAAAAACTGAAGTACTTTAAACTTTTTAAAGGGATCCCTGATTAGTTCTAACAGACTTTATTTGATAAACATTTRTTTTAACTGTAAAATAAAGACTGTAAAATACTGTAGGCTGTTTAGTTTTGTAAAACTGAAAATATGGATGGAGGACAACAGAKCTGCTTCATGGAAGAAGAACCTCAGATTAGCCTGTTAGCTTTAGCGTTAGTTTAAAAATGGCTGAATTGTAGCCTTTTGTAAAATTAGATTTAGCGTTAGCGGTTAGCATATTCTGGGATTAGCATCAACAATCAGCGGCTGTGTCCAAAACGGCAGGACGGGTCCTCCGGAGGACCCAGACTCCCCGGTCT